TAAATTCTGGCACATAAATCTACCAAGACAAGATTTCGCGGCGCACTGCATCGCTTCCTTTGACCGTAGTGACCCAGAAGGATCATTTAACCAAGCGATGATTCCATGGTATTTGAATGCATCTGGCATCTAGCAGCATTATTTGCTAGAGTCATTTAGCGTTTAGCGCGAACGATATTTTAAAAACTTCCTGGTACTCCTGAAATGCCACCACACACCTAATACCACCGTTAAATATTAGGCAGACGATGACATTAAGCATTTGCGATGAGCGTGAAGTAGTTCTAACGGAAAAATGGTGTGAGATGTATCTGGTTTTGTACGTGCTGAAATTCCATAGAGCCATGGCCGGCTTAAATGTCCTTCCCGTCCCCTATATGGAAAATCAACATGCCTTCAAATCTGGTCTCGGACAAGTTATTTATAATTTAACATACCAGACGTACGAAAACATTTGATATTTATGTGGTATCAATAAAATCTAAGTGAATATATCAAATGATTCGTGACAGACATTCAGTAAAGGCTGATGCAGTCAGGTGTGACTTAAAAAAAGATGCGTTAACAAGTCTATCTGTGAAGACAGAAGTCTACACCAGTGAACCAACTCTGCTAAAACAATGAAAGAATAAAAATAACATGAAGTACTTTTGGAAGACCAAAAATGTTTCATCCAGGAAACTGCCGTTGTGCAAAGTCTTCGATCAGTGTGTGCTCCCAGCGGCAAATTATGGGTACTAAACGTGGATCTTAAACCTGAAAACTGTTAATAAACTGCGGATTATGCGCCACACCACCGAAAGATGTTATGTTGGGAATAACAAGAAAAAATAGCAAGACAAAGTCAGCGATATTCCTGCACCAGTAAAGAAGTTAAAACTGATGTGTGCAGGACACGTTATAAAAACGACCGATCATTTTTGAATCGAATTGTTTTCAGATGTTCAGAATTGAGTTCCAGGCGATAATAAAAGAGTGAAAAATACTTCAGTGGTACAGTCAGCTAAAAGAATTTGCTAAAGAATCGCAGGAGACAAAATTGGAAGGACCTTCATCCAACAGTGGGTGGATTAAAACTTATGAAGAAGACTGAGTGCAAATCTCCAAACTAAGAAAAATCTCTAAACCGTCCTTCTGTACAAAAAAAATATATCATAACAAGAGAAAACGTGTTCAACGAACGTTCTTGCAAATTTTGAAAGACCTACACTGAGGAAACTGGAGAAGCCTCAAAAAGGAACAATTGGCTGCATCCGCAGAAAACATGACAAGGGCTAAACTGTAGGAGAACACAGCGTTATAAAATGGGGCTGCAACAGAATTACTGGAAAACAAGTCAATGAGTAAAAGGTTAAAGCTCAATATACATAGAGAAAGAACAATGCACCATTAGCTCTGCGTCGCAATCACTGCTATGACATAATACTTGTTAATAAACACATTCACTTGCAATTTTCACTCTAATATTATAATCATACTTACAACCCAAACACAATCCTAACACCAGCATAACTTCTACTAACCATCATTGGTGAATCATCATCAATTTAGGCTCGTCGTGAAATCGTGATGGGGGCACAACGCAAGATGTCAACTCATCGCCCTTTAAAACACGATCGTTACCGATAGTGCTCTGGAATCCGCAGTGCTTGTGCACTAGCTGACTTACTTAAGCATTTAAACAACAAAGAAATATATTCAACCAAACGGAGCAAAGGTT